CCCCCCACCCCCCCCCCGCGGGCCTTAACAAAAGATCTCTTGATTTCATACAGTATGTACCTCTTGTGTAAATACAAAAAGGAAAAATTAACATTTAGAGGAAACTGTATTTTGTAGTAGAAGTCTTTGCAATGAATTTAATGCACTAGCTGAAGTGGATATATTAAGTACGACCATATTACTTTAGCATAAATATGAATCAGGAACATTAGATTTGGCCAATGCTTTATGGAAACTTTTAATAATAGTCAACTAAAAACGACGAATAGTAACTTATCAAAACACATAGATAAACTAAATATATAAATACACAATCAGCAATGTAGTAACGATCTATTAGAAGTCATGATTGTGCTGAGTCAAACTGATAAATATCATTTCTCATTTTCCAGAGCAAAGATCCCCGTATTACTTTTTCATACTTACATTTCGTGCTCAAGGAATGAAGTTTCTTAATGAAAATTTGGAAAAAAATAACAAGCAGGCGGTCTGCCTACTTTAAGCAAGCAGTTTGATTTGTGTGAGATCTCGATCTGGCCTGCCTGGTACGTGACAGGCTCTAAAGCCAAGGCCTGATGACCTGTTCGGACATCTGCTTGACAATATACATATATATTTGAAATAATATTGCAAAGTTGTTATAATTCGTTTTTATAAATACCTTTCTTTGCACATTCATGACTTAATCTTTTTCATCTACTTCGAAATCTATAATCGCTTCCACTTAAGGAAAACGACCGACATTCTTATATCCCGGCATTCTCCTATCTGTTCTATCGGTGTATCATTGAATCAATTTTATCATTTTGTAGAGAACGACTACAATGCGAAAGTTAAAGAATGTGATAGTTTTTGAGTTTTTCCTCTGAATTATAGTTTCGAGCACATGAAACTGTTGAAAAATCGAACAAATGAAAAAAGAACGATCTCTTTGAAAGCGTGAAGAGAGAGCGAAAGAAATAATGACATCAAAATTGTTTAAGTGCAACTATTGCTCTATAGAAACGATTTTTTAGAAAGAGCTTACTTGACCGAATTAATCACTTCTTTCGTGCAGATCGGTGGGTGGTTACTTGATTATATATGTGTCCAGTTTTCAGAAACTCAAATCCCTCGACTGTATTGCATGATATACTATCTGCCTCTTTCAAAGTATAAATGTTGCAGTTCTAGTGATTCGCATTTACTTATTGTTATATTGTTGAAATTGATTCGATACTTCAAAATATAGATGTTGTATCAGTAGATTGTACGATTTTTCTCTTTTACTCTTTCATCGATCTCATTGAAATAGAAGGAGTACAATCGTATTAACAAAAACTTACTATCATAACCATGTTCGGGTTTAACAAATAGTGGAAAGCCACCTAATGTTTCCGATAGTTCATCTAAATAATCATTATTGTAATTATCTATATCCATCAGTAAGGGTGTGGGTGTGTGGGTGTGGGGTGTGGGGTGGGTGTGGGTGTGGGTCAGGAGGCGCATATTTTGATCCAAACCCACACCCACCCTAGCTCTCATAAGGGATGTGAAAAAATAGTTCTACTTAATGTTTTGTGTTCAAAATTTGAAGCTCTTCAAAATGACGTAAAAAAGGTCAGGATCTAATGATCAGCAGCGTAAGAAACTCTAAAACATTCGTCGTGGCCAATTTCGGTAACGGTCAGTCACGAAGCTATCTGGTCACGACGAATGTTCTGGAGTTTCTTACGCTGCTGATCATTAGATCCTGACCTTTTTTACGTCATTTTGAAGAGCTTCAAATTTTGAACACAAAACATTAAGTAGAACTATTTTTTCACATCCCTTATGAGAGCNTCTATTCGAGACGCATAAACACTTACTGTTAGATCCAGTTCTTCATGCTGATTACGAATCTGGTGTTTACTTCCGCTTTTGAACATTTTATCTATGAGAAAAATTGGAATTACCGTAGAAAAATGACTAAAAAGTGCATTTTTTTTAGTTTTCCCGTTTTTTTCGCCCAGAATCTCACTCCCGTAAAAAATCAACTACACAGGAAGATAGAGCAAGTTTTGGTCTATCGAATGGTATATGTCACCAACTCCGTTAATTACAATTTTGTACCAAATTAGTTACCGATTTCTTAAGGTATACCTTTTTTCCTGTTCTATGTTTTCATGCATACATTTATGAAAGATAGCACCAATATAGGTTTTTTGATAGAGCTTTGAATGAGCTACAAGAATCTGTCCTGGGTTTCGAAAAACAAATTAGTATAGCTGAGAAACAACGAAAACATTGAAAAAATGCCTAAAAAGTATTTTTACTATTTTTCTGTTATTTTTCAATCAAGGTTCCGTGAAAAAGTGACTAAAAATTGCATTTTTTTCGTTTTTTCGTTTTTTTCGCCCAGAATCTGATTCCCGTACAAATTCAACTACGCAGGAAGATAGAGCAAGCTCCGCTCTATCGAATGACATATGCCACTGTGCCGATATAAGCACTCGGTCTATCCTAATCAATGTACATAAAGACTTTCTTCTCATTGTCATATGTATTCTATCTTCCTCTTTGTCGTGTTTCTTCTCGTTCTCTCCGGTTGAGTGACGTGCCCTAGAGAAAGAAAGTGTATATATAAAAGGAGAAGGATGATTGAAATAAAACAGTTCCATATCACGATAAAACTTCTCTTATCGTTACAGCCACCAATTCCGGTAATTTCAATTTTGCACCAAATTAGTTCCCGATTTCTTAAGACATACCTTTTTTCCGGTTCTATGTTTTCATGCATAGATTTATGAAAGATAGCACCAATATAGGTTTTTTGATAGAGCTTTGAATGAGCTACAAGAATTTGTCCTCGGTTTCGAAAAACAAATTCGTATAGCTGAGAAACGACGAAAACATTGAAAAAATCGATTTTTTTCAAAAAAATGCTCAAGAAAGTATTTTTACGATTTCTCGGTTATTTTTCAATCAAGTTCAGACCTTTTTTATAGCAAAATGATCAGCGTAAAAGTCTCTGCAAGCCCTCCAAGTTTCATCGAATTCGAAGATGGTCACTGTGAAAACTGGAGGAAGCTGGCGGAATCACCCAGCTATATATAGTTTAGCTACTGTGTGTATACTATTAACAACAATTCCGCACGATGGATTTATTCTTGTCCAAAATGACTTCTGTGTGTTGTCTTTCAATACAACTGAATACAATCGTACGTATTACAAAGGACAGCTTTCTTCTAACTTGACTTGTTTAGAAGTGAACTCGACTCAACTGCCTTTCTACTGCTCTTATACTGCTCTTATACTGCACATAAAACGCGAGTTTATATACTAGAGAGAAAATAAGAAACAATATATAAAAGAGAGAGAGAAGAAGAAGACTAATGTAGATAGGAGAGAGAGATACAGAGAGAGCGAGAAATAAGATACATAGAGAGAAAAGACGTATCGGGAGAAAAGGATATGGAGAGAGAAAAAAATACAGGGATGGGTTACATATTGTTCAATGGGCGATTATGTGTTGTCATATGCAAGGACGAATATTATTGATGTAAACTAATTACGCCACCGCAGTATGTTCATCAGCTCTATGACTTACAAGTGGACGTCCAGCGGTTCATATAACCCCTATCTAATCTAGTCCTTTACGGGGGACGTACTTCTTGGCGCAATCATATTAAACTTGCAATTGAATTGATTATTCATACATACCTAACTACAGAAAATATTGAATTCATTTTATCAGATTGACATTACCTGTGTATTCATACATGTGACATATCAAAAAAGATAAAAGAACAATCACACTTGAAAAGATACTACTAATTATTGAATTCATTTTGCAGACACAACTACCCAGGTCTACCATTCAGCTATCGCATCCCTGGTATCGAAAAAATGATGACGGATTCGGATTCCTGTACACCGATAACCTATTCCGAACTTCGATCAGAATTTAGATCGGAGTTGAAATACAAAGTGTAATTTTACAGCCCTCGATTTTTTGATGGACTCAATTTCTGACCATTGAGAGCTTTGATCGAAAAAATGAGGATGGATTCAGATTACTCGATCTCAGTAACCTATTTGAGATTTTTATTACTTAAATCACGTTCCGAAAATATAGTATCTTGCTTCAAGCCAGAACCATCTTTGGAGAAATGGTTCCGCATTAAAAAAATGGCGCAGGACGGAACCTTTTCAAACATCCGGAACTATTAAGCATCTGAGATAGTTTTTTAAATTAGCTAGAACCATCGATGGCTTATTAATGAGCGAGTGAAACCTTAATAGGTTCAATATTTTGGCTAGCAGCATAAATGGTTCCATATGACACCTATTTTTTTCAGACTGCTATTGCGAGCAATTGAGTATTAATTCTGGAAGTAAATTTTATTTAATATAAAAATGGAGTCTTGACGCTCTCCAAAAATAAGAAATCCGATTTTGATGTCAGATTTTGCGTTCACAAATAATTTGATAATGCATTTGTCATTATTTAAAACACTTTTTCTTAATACTTAATCAAAGTTAAGTATAGTTGGGAAACTCCAATCCAATGCTTGATATAGATACTTTCGTATTTCTGTGATAAAATATGGACGATTCGAGCATTAATACTCTATTGAGCTTTATCAAAGATCATTTTCTTCGTCGGATATAAATTCTCTGTCTAAGTCACTACTTGATTTCAGTGCGACGTCAACTAATGATTATTTTTCGGAACCCACATACTGTACGATGATCAATGTCTCCTGTTTCAAGTATGATTAGAAGCATTCAAAATGTGACCTTGGATTTACGTTCCCCACCTATAATTACCGTTCAGCTCATTTTATGATAAGAAAGTAAAGCATGCTCATATACTAGTAAAGGAGTCACCCTTCTGGTTATGAAAAATGTAATAGTCAGGCAAGCGCTTCCAATACAAACTGAGAGTTTAGAAAAATTGAGAATTCGAAACCAACGTCAATTTTCTCAACCTCATTCCACTGATCTAAGGTCAATTAACAAAATTGATGTGACACTGAGAAATTTGCTTTTCTTTAAAGCGGATTTTATCAAGAAAACGCCTGATGTATGATAGGAAAATTTTAAAAAATATGCCGCAATGATACAAAAGGTGCTTCGAATGTTTTTTGCACTTCAAAGTTCAAAAAGCGAGCTTGAGCAAGCTTAGTAGAACAATAACTGTAAAAAATAGAATGTCAATATGAATTCACATAGGATATTCTAGGAATGCCTATATGAATTCAGTAATGAATTTCTACTTTCTTGAAAATAAAATATTGATATTCAAGTTTGGATAGGGATGTGCAATGTCAGCTTACTGAGCACCGACTACACTGTCACCGATGCCACTGACACACTGATTTCACTGACACCCACTCCACTGAGAACACCGAAAATATACAGTCAGTGTTCAGTAGAGCACTGGCACACCAACAACTTCTGGTTGACTCAAGTTGTAATACAGCTACTATGACATTTTTCGAAAGCAAAATGTGCCTGTGAAAGAAGCTTACATTAACTGACAGTATACCCGTATGCGAGTAAAACAAAACGTAATGTAATCCACTAAAGCTTGTTGTATAATTTAAAAATACAGATTGTTCAATATTATTATATCCATGACAAAGATAGAGATGCCTATTTCACTATAATGTATGGCAAACTACCATTAAGGCCACCCGCCCCCCTAAAAAAAAGTCGATTTTCGTCAAAAAAAATGAAAATTGAGATAACACCATGAGGTGATAGTCCATGTTCTGCTCTTGCTGAATCACTATAGTTTTTTTTTCCAAACGCCATTTTTTGACCGAAATTTTTAGTGACCTTTGAGAGGTCCTCTATGTCAAAAACGGCGGTATAATTAGGTCTTTGATCTCTAATGACTAATTAATTAATTAATTAAGCGCTCAGCGTGTGCACAATTAAAAGTTACCTAGGACAAGTTAGGTCAGTTTCCTGAAAAAACGCGTGAAAATTGCAGAAAATTTAAAAGAGCAGCAAAAGCTTCGAAAAAACGTTTTTATGTTTTTCCAATTTCCAATCTAGTTATTTTGCCTTCAACTATGTTTTATTGAAAATTTTTCTTTTCATTTGATAGGGCACGCAAAGACGCAGGACATGACGTTCTCCGATTTTTGATAAAAGCTTTTTTTTATGCCCAAAAAAAGGTTACCTACAAAATTCCCATGCACTTTTTTGGCCTTTTTTGAAGCATTTTTACTTGTGCAAAATTTTTCGGCTTATAAATGGACTTTTGAAAAAATCGAAGAACATCATGCCNCTAACGTATCCTGATAATTTCAGCCGATTTGAGCGTGCTTTGGCGAAAATCGACTTTTGAGGGGGAGCCTTAAAATCGGCAAAGATGTATACTTTGACGGGTGCAGTGACACAGTGTTCCACTGAACACCGATGTCGGCGCGGTCAGTGCACCGAATTTCAGTGCTTCAGTGAACACTGACTGAATATTTTTGCGGCGTTCTCAGTGAAGTCGGTGTCAGTGAAATCAGTGTGTCAGTGACATCGGTGACAGTGTAGTCAGTGCTCCACTGAGCACACTGTCGGTGATATCAACCCCAGTTTTTCGGTATTTACACCGATGCTGCACATCCCTAAAACAGTTTGGAGTTTATGCAGTAAATTAAATTGAATTTCTATTAANATTTTATTATATTTTAGACTCGATTTATTTTTTAAGTAGCTGTTCTGTGATACTTCGTTATTTCTTGTTTTATCTCAAAAAAATAAAGCACTATAAAGTTATCACACTTATACAGAATCAAAATCCAGCAAGAAGGCGTATGACGCGTCTATCATTGAAAAAAATATGATGAGCGTCATTTTCTCACTGTCTTCCTGACATCATTTTGCTGGAAAATTGAGCCTACCCTAGATTGACATCGTTCCGCCGCCTATGCTGCTTACAGTAGTATAGTGTTTTGTTTTTGAAACCTATAATACAGAATAGCTTTTTTCAAACGCTTTCTATCTGAACTGATAAAATTGAAATTGCAAAAAGCACCTTTTTATTTAATTATTTTATTTAATCCCTCGTAGGAATACGTGAATAATATTGATAAACAGAAGTAAAAGAAGAAAAACAAAAATAATGACAACATATATTTAGTTTTTCTTTTAGTGAATTTCCTTTCAATACAACAGTAAACATTAACCAATAAATATATATATATGAGCATTATTTATGTTGTTGCTTTTTTTTCATTAATAATTATTTCAAGCAAGAAAAACGATAAAGATAAGAAAAAATATAATTAACACGGCAAAAACTTTAATAATAAGCCATCTATTCGATGTAACTGAACGAAGATATTTAAGTAATTCTGTATGTGCACCCTCAATATGTTGTGTTGCTTCATCAACATTTGCATCAATTCTAAATAAAATCAATCGTTATGAACAAATTCTCGTTCGTATCTTCTATTTACCTATGAACAAGTTCTTCTTGTTGTCGTACCATCGTAGCTAATTGAGTAAAAATATCTCCCAACTCAATAATTGTCTGTTCTATATTTTGCATCGCTTCCGAACGATTTGCCAAATATGTATCCTATGTTTTCAAAATTGAATTTTGGGTTCGAGCACAAAAAACAAAATAGCATACCGTTTCATCAATAACTTGTAATTGTTGTCTCATGGAAGAATTACGCGATCCCTCTGAACCCATATCAATAACAGCATCACCTCCATTTGTTGTTCGACTTTCATCACGAAAAAGTACAGAAGGTCGACCTATGAAATAGCAAATATGAGAATAATAGGAAATCATTTTTTGTTTCTTGAAATATACCATTGATAGCCGATGGAGCAGACGTCAATGATGATGCAACGGTATTCCGTGAGAAATTATCTCGTCTTGATTTTTGCTCTTTCAAATTCTAAACGAAGGCAAAATGAATTATTTAATGTTGATGTTCGATTTCGAATACAAAAACTAAAGATCTCTTTTCATTGACCCGAAAGGCTTTTAAATGGATCGATCAATATCGAGATTACATACTTGAGTTCGAGCTTCTAGAACTTGTTTAAAATCATTAGACATAGTAGCTAACTTGGACTAGAAAATAGAAATTATCATATTATTTTTCTTCTTAGGGAAAACTTAGAATATCTACTTGAAGGACAAAAACAACTGAATTGGAATGTGCTTGTGTATTTTTCGATTTAGATCCATGTGTATCTTGCATATACTGTAATGAAGAAAAACAAACGTCTATACAGAGATAGAAATAGAAATATACCTGTTGAAGTTGTGCAATTTGTCGATTTAAATTGCTAATATCTTGTTTGATTGATAATGTTAAATCTTGAATTTCCATAGATTTATCATTGAATAATGATGATTGTTTAGCAACTAAAATAAATATTTAGAAAAGAGAATAATGGAAAAATTAAAAAACTAACTCAACGATAGTTGTTCTAATTTCATAAATGTTTGTGATAGATCATGACCAATTCTTTTTGCTTGTTGCATGAATATGCCACGTTGTTCCACAGGAGATTGAGGATGTTGACGACGATTAATGGGAGCTGGATGAGGGCCATCGAAGCCATTCTAAAAATTGAAATAATAGTTTTTTCATAAGAAATAAATTCACACGCTGCTTACCTTTCTACTGGCAAAGCTTTTCACTGTTGTTTGAAATTCACTTGTACGATCACGTCCGTTTGACATTGTGGTTAATGGTAAAAAAAACGAGGATGATGATGAATTATTGATATTAGTTGGATAAGGAAATGGCTCAAGAGTTTCAACAAGTGTTGTTGTTGACGTGGGCAGTGTTTTATTAGTTGATGATGCCCAACGATGGCGGGCCTCTTGATACATACAATAAATCAGGTGTTTTCTTGTGTGTTTGTTTCACGCACTCGAAGAACAACGTTACCAATTGAAATAAATTCAAAAAAATATATAGATCTGAAAATTAGTTAGTCTATTTTAATGTAAATAAAAACGAAAGAGGACCAATGATGATCATTATTTGTTTGTTTTTAGTTCAAAGAAATAACAAATGAAACAAAAAAACAGCATAGGATCATCACATATCATAAAGTATCAAAGAAAGAAAAAACCACCAATATTTTGATATCATACGAAACATTGCAATACATAAAAGAAAGGAAAAAGAAGATAAACTATTTTAATTTCCCTCGTGTAAAATATTTTATTGGAATGAATAAATGAGATTCAGAAAATAGTGATGGCCATAAGTGTTCTTTCCTTCATTTTGATGACGATGTTGAAATCAGTAGACTTATCTAAAAATTGAAGAATAAATATTTGATTACCGAATTCTTGCGAAGGAGAGAGGGCACTATATAGGTAAATTTCAAAGGCTGAATAGAACGTATGAAAAGATGTTTTTCTCTTGGATTCATTCCGAATACGAACTCAAAAAGAAATCTATTTTTCTTACTTGTTCTTGCGATGGACATCCGATAATCTGAAGATCTTCTTCAGAATACTGATCACGAATTAGAATAATTAATTCTTGATATGCTTGCTGTATGTTATTCTAGAAGAGAAAAACAAATTCACAGGTCAATATTAAAAAGTAAGCGCGGCTTGAATTTCGTGGCTAGGAAAATTGTCTTATCGATAATTATGACAATTCATTTTTGTCAAAACTTACTTTAATAGGTTTAAATAATATTTGTTCCGTATCTTTATTTGCTAAATAAAGTGACATAATTTTGAATATATCGGGTAATTGTTTTTTCATTGAATTATAATTTTCTATAATAAGATCATGCATGACTTCAGGTTTAGCAAAGGGTTGTTGTCTTAATGAAACTTTCTGTGTATTATTTTGATCATGATTCATTTTTAGTATAACTTGTGCTCGCTCTAAATATTGTCTTATTGTCCCGCATAATAGACGGGATAAATCTGCTATATATAATTCACATGTTTGCTTTAAATGTTTATCAACTTCACGTTTAGAATCAATAAATGATTCTTTCACTTGTAATGTGCCTTGAAGAAGAAAGTCTAAAAATGCGTTATCACGATTCATAGATAATAATTTGGATTTTTTCGACAGAAATTTCATCGCTGCTTCTTTTAATTTTGTGAAATCGATAACCATTTCTTTAACAGCAAAATCAACATTAAATGGTGCGATTTGTTCGCGTAGTATAAGTAAATGTTTTATTAAAAACAGCCGACCGTCTATAGGTGTTTTCCCTTTCGTAATAAGATCACTTGCAGCGATTAAAGATTGAACACACATTGTTAGCGTTTCTTGAGATAAACCTTGAAAAATATTACGCTAAAAATAGGAAAATTCTTAGTTTTTTTCAAGAAAACAGCAAGATTATATTTACGTCGAGACAACGAAATAATTTTGATAAACAAACAAGTGTTCGTCGTACAGTTGGATACCACATGCCATGAAGGTCAGCCGGTGACGACACCTGTCCATCTTTTGTTGACATAGAAGTTGAAATAACCGACAGGTCCGTACCAGGTATGGTTTCGAAAACGATGTCATTAGATGAGTCAACAGAAGATTGAGAATTTAATCTTGATACACGTTGTTCTTTTAGTGATTGAGCAATTTTCTGTACAAAAAAAAAAACTTTTTTTGGTAAACACTTCCCATGTGAAAGAATCCTATTTTTTTGATTGCTTAGTACCCGACAAGGTCCATCAAATTCCTACAAAGAATTTCTTCCTCCCGTCCAACTAGAAATATCTACCTGCATCATTTCGAGTTTTTCCGGATAAGCAATGTCACCAGGCGATGGCTTATAACCAAGAATTTCATTGCGTATATAAACTTGTGTACGATATACAAGTCGTTCTTGAACATCTTCAAGCATCTGTGTGCATACTGTTTCAAATGTTGACAATTCTTTTGCTAGAAAAATCGAACATTACAAAAGAATTAACAAAATCATATTTTCATACCACTGTTTTTCACATGTTCTTCGATCATTTCAACTTTCAAGATGGTTACTAGTTCTGCAAGAGTTTCCAAATGAATCACATGAATAATACGAGAACGAAGATTATCGTAGAGTACGTTACAAAACTCCGAGAGCATTGTACTAAAACGACAGACGTAATTTGTTATTCAAAATGGGTCATGTTATTTCTTATCGGATTGCTCTATTTGTTGTTTCTACTGAATGATTGTAAACATTACCCTACGGTGATAAGATCAGTCGATTTCAACTCACAAGAGCTACCTATTATTTTACTACTCAAATCTATGAAGAAAATCCAATATCATACTTCATAGATTTCATATTGACTCAGCGTAAACAAAATCCTCGAACCAGCAGTGACTTCAAATTTATCCCTATTCGGAAGACTATTGAATCATGCAATATTTCTTCAAAACTTACTCTAAGTATACTGAATGTTTTGAAAAAAATTGATAAAAAAGTTGATATTCATCTTGACAAAGATGCAATAAAAATGCGCAACCACCACGAACCTAGAAGTAATGTCTATTATATAATTTCGCAAAAAAATAAATAATCTATTTACCAATGTACACATATCTCGTTCATGTTTGATCGCTAAATCTTGAATAGCACTTTGCACACTAAATAAATCGCCATGAAAATGTAAAAACAAGAAATTATAAGAAACCAATCTTTCTCACCTTGCCGCTAATAACATTCGTCTCTCATTAGCATAACATTCATGACAGTCGGAAAGTGTTTTTTCGTATCTAAAAATGAGAGTATTAATAAAAATCCGATCACATTTCCCATGACTTACTCAGAATTTCTCGAACATCGTTGTTCAAGTTCTTCAGCTAATACTTTTACTTTTGGCGCATTTATCCGAAACCGTCCATAAAATAAAGTATAAGCATCGTCGGATAAAAGCGTATGATTCTAATTCAATAAAAAAAAAGAAACTAATAGTAAATGTATTGCAAAATTAAAACTTACCTACCTTGTTCGGATCTATAGTATTTGAAGAATTATGTAAGATATGAATAATATGTGCTTTGATGATATTTAATGCTTTGAATAAAACTTGTTTCATTTGACTTTTGTAAATCAGAGATTGTTTAAATGAATCCTAAAATAATCAAAAATAAACAACAATAAACGACGATATAGTTTAACAGACATGCGTGTCGAAATAAGCAAGACATTCATCTATACGCGTTAATGTTGGAATTAATTGTTTGACATCAGAGACTAATGGACTGATTGAAAGATTCTAAAAAAATTAAAATAAATATTTTTCTAGAAGAGAATTTTCTTTTTCTTCTTTTTACTTTAGAAAATCGATCAACATCATCGAAGTACAATAGACGATTTTCAATACATTCTGTAATATTTAATAATTTTGTCTGATCAGCTAATAATTGTTCACAAGCTCGATAAAGGGAATTCGTCTTATAAGATACTTTTGTATATGTATCATGAAGTGTATCTAAATATTTAACTGCTTCATTAACATCATTGTACAAATTTTGACATTGCTGTTCCCATAGACAAATATGTTCAAATGTATTTCTATAGAGAAAAAGAAACAAATTTAGACTCTATGTTTTCATGAATCCTTACGGATGAACTTACCCTTGTTGTAAATCTCCTGCTGAAGAGATTGGTGTACTGTCATATTTTCCTAGTGTTTGCTCAATCCAATTGTCTAACTAAAAACAATTCTCAATAGAACAAAAACATTTTTTTATTCGTTTTTCATACTTGTTTTAAATCAGCATTAGTCCATGGAATTAATTCGCTAGTATTTGAATTCTGAAACGAGTAAAAACACGCAATCACCTTGAAGAAAATCAATTAACAACTTGATTCTTACATTATTCGTATTCGAGCCATATTTCGATTCAATTAAATCATTTAGTAAACTAACCGATTGCCATGCACTGTCGCTCAATGGTGCAACACATTTGTCGTTTTTATTATCATCATTTTTAGGTGAATTATCCCATAAGGTTGTTCGATCGATCAGTGCCGATAGCGATGATTGTAATGAGTCTGTAGACGAAATCGATTGCATTACGTTGATATTGATGCATACGAATAAAATCTAAATGTATCTATCAATCAAATCTGTCAGACACTACTCGGGGTTTGATCACTAAAAATGTCATGTCTCATACAGTGGAGAAAAAAACAACAAATAAATAAATAAAAAACAAAAACGAACGTGGCGAGTAGCTTCGTACATAATTGGATAGAACTAGTATCGAATCTTTTCTTCGGATAGATGTCATGCGATGAAAATAGATCAATATCATTTGTGGGTGGAAATCGTCATACGTAAATGTATGTTACGAAGTACTTTCGTTCCATCATGGTAGTTAACTCAGCGAATACTTATCATCACTGAAATAATTCTATACATTTTTTTCTGAAAACGATCTTGAATCATTTTTTTACAAAAAAAGGTTATGTCATTGGTCAAGTATACACATTAGCCATTAGAAAAGACGTCAAAGTTCGAGCAGTTTTTAGATTTGTTGTAAACGAGAAAGGGCAATTTTTCTAAGACTCTTGGGTCGCCCTTTAGTCTTGAATTTAAATTACTAAACATAGATTTGTAAAGAAAAAAGCAAATCAAACTATGTATATATTATATGAATTACTCATGGAGAACATGTCAAGTACAACTTTATTTCGAAAACTACATACTTAAATTAAGCAGAAAATGTAATTCTCTGTAAAATGAGATGCCTCTGAGCTAAGGTACTGTATCGTAGTCAATAACTGTCACAGATACAGGCCCCGCAGCTGTCCTTCTTTTTTTCTTTGTCATGCAAAAAGTCCATATGCACAAAGAAAGTTTTTAGCGCATTACTATTGGATCCATAGGCTGCTTTTCCTGAGGACCAGATCCGTTTTTATTGTTGATGACAAAGCTTATGCGAGGTTTTATTATCAAAAGTTTGTGCTTCGATTCAATCTATCTAACCAATAGGACCATTTCGTGTGCCTCTAGAATGGTGTCTGCTCTAATCCTAAGTTCGTTCGACTCCCTCAAAAGATTCTCACAACCATTAAAGAAATCGAAGTGTTAAAATGCCGAATGAAATATTCGTTTCATTCGATGAAACCGTACTTCGATTGGCCTCTTGTTTATCTGTTCACGCACAACTTCGTCCTAATTTAAGTAAATTAACATCCGAAGATTATGTTCAACATTTAAACGGGTTACATATATGTGGTATTATACGAAAATTCGAATCCGAAACAACAGTTCTAGCGTTAGCTGTCTATCGAACTTTTCTAAGTACATTTGATACGATCCGTTTTGAAATCGACGATATAGTTGTTGATGAAAAAGAACGAAATCATGGCTTAGGTACACGTCTTCTTAATGACTTAATGAAAAAAGCGAAAGAATGCGGTGCAACGAAAATTCTTGTTCATTGCGATCCTACAAATACCGATGCACATCGATTCTTTTTTCGGCTTGGTTTAACAATATATGTTTTTGAATTTTCTTTACGAAAGAATGAGTTACTAACAAGTAATGATCAAATTCGTATTGTTGATGTAACAGAATTATCAGAAAAAGACAATGAACACTTGCTAATTCAAGCTCATGGCATCTTTCGACAGCTGCGACCGCATTTACCGGACGATGAAAAAACATATGTTAATCAAATTCGTGATATATGCCGTACGGGTCCAGCTCGAATCATAGTCGCAATGAACGATGAAATACTCGGTTTAGCCGTCTATCGTGTAGCTCGTAATATGAAATATGCTGAGCATATCTATTGTGATGATTTGGTTACAAATGAAAACAGCCGAAGTTCAGGTGTTGGTCGATGTTTAATTAATTATATGAAAAATGAAGCCAAAAAATTAGGCATCGATCAATTAACTTTGGATAGCGGATGTCAACGAGGAAGAGCACATAAATTTTATCATCGAGAAGGTTTTATTATCAATCAATATGGATTTATGATGTGATTTTAAGCTAAATTATTTGAATAATTTTTTAAATACATCTAATTTAAAATAAAATTCGGCTTGTTGAGATTAAAAAGTTACTCGGAGAGTTTCTATAGATATTTATAGAGAAAAAGTTTTGCTTAAAACGAACAATATAAAAAGCTAAAAATATATTTAGTTCAACCAGAAAGCTTCTAAAACCCAAGCCGACAGGAAAAATCAGCTTTATCCTTTTCTTTTTCTTACTGACTATTGTAAAACAGTTCAAGTTATTTTTTTTAAACCGTAGAATTCTGCCAAGCACGTGTATTTATTGTTCAATTCTTTCGACAATTAGATTAAGCATATTTTTGTCCAATATCATTCGTATAGTTTACGTAGCTGACTTTTATTAATAGGTTAGTATGAAGAAAAAAATGTGCAAAGTCGTAACAAAATTTATTGATAAAGGTTCTTCATAATTGATCAAGATTTTGCTGTTGCGCTGCTAATTCATACATGAATGAAATCCCCATGCTTACGAATGTCTCTGTTCACGTGTGAACTAATGGTGTGTCCAAATAGCAGTGACATCGCTGGATGTTTATATGTAATCATACAATTCATTTGCCAATTTTATTTCCACAATCGGATTGTTCCCACTAAAACATAATTTGTATGAATGTCTGTAGAACGTGTGAAGTTATTGGGAGATTAACATTTAATTAAGCTCTCTCGGCATTGCATCGTACTTTTAAAGTGTTTCGCTGGAAACAGTAACATCAACACAGAGGCTGCTCTGCATCCTGTATTTTTATTTATTGACTGAGGAGAATAAAAATGTCGTATTCGTCTAGAAATTCATCCACATTGGACGACTTCTGCATTTCGATAGTCGTCGCCTGACATCTATAATGTCGTTTATTAAGAATATATTGGCATTAGATGTTAAGCAATAGTATCCTTTCTATTTTATTGTATTGTAGTTGAATTTTTCCTGAAAAAATATATTCGACTTTTTTTTACCTTTTTGACGAATAGATTTGATTTATTTATTTAGTTTTTAGATTAATCATCATAGACATTGTAGTACTTCCGAATAATATAACAGGTTACAAAGTTCGATTAAATTTTGAAAACTTCCTTTCAATAAAAACCATAAGATTGTATGTTAATAGTTTTATGTTTTTTGTTTTTGAAAGCTAAGATCACAAACACGAAGAATGTGACAATGGGTAATAATCCTATGAATTTCACCATCAGATGTAAAACAACATCAATTCATAATTATATGTGATTGCAAGATAAATACTATCTTGCCTATTCGCCATAAAATAGTATTGAAAGAATATATATATATATATATATAAATAATACTGTCTCTAATAAATATTTTTATGTAATACACAAACTATTATAATGAAATCTAGAGGTTTCTCGATAATAGTGATTAGACAATTGAGAATATTCGTTTGCTAGTGGCCAGAAAAAAAAACTTAGGTAGATTATTAAATCAACATCGTCATCGATGCAATTGTAAGATTTCAGATATTATACGTTCAACTCTACTAAGACATCGACGGTATTTGTTTTATAAACTCTCAAGAACATTAACATACGATTTACGAGTAATAATATGAATATTGACTTTTTTTGTGTAATTCACACGAAATATTCTACAAGGAAACTAAGACATCAAACAATTTGTTAATGTCTATCTTTTGTTTCAATGCAGAATGTTGTAATGAACAACACTTATCCAAACACATAATTTTCTCCTAAAGTAGAGAAAAATAACTTCATTATGCATGAATTTTCGAATCTGATAAAATTTCAACGGCAAAAACAGAATGTTCTTTTTTCTAGATATTGAATTTCCAAGTAAACTCGATTTTTCAGACATGTCTGCTGTAAATGACAATTTCTTAGAAATTCAATATCTCAACAAAAAATTTATCTATTCAGAATGTATGAAAATATCAAAACGAATTGCCTTTTAAATGAATTGTAACCATCGATCGTATATTACATCATAGACGATGACATTTTCTTCTTCTTTTTTTTATACTCCCTATTAACTATAGTTATAGTCAATATACAGGATCGACTTAAAGTATCCAATATGAAATTTGATCGAGAGAGAAATTTATTAGTAGTAAAAGAAAAAGGTCAAGGAACTTAATGAGATTGAAATCTCGAATGAATGAATATTTTAGATATAATCATGGCTGATATTCTCTTCGAAGATATCTTCGGTGTTAAAGATATTGATTTTGGTGGTAAAAAATTTCTTCGAGGTAATTAAGAAATATATCTTTTTGATTTCTTTCATTGATGAAATTATTTTTATTTAGTTTCACGTATTTTTTGTGAATCAGAATCATTTAAAATGGAATTACTGCTTGATGTTAATACACAAATTTATCCAATGGAACTCGGTTAGTTGTATTTTTTTTTGTTAATGCTTTGTACGTATGTATATATATATATATAACGAAAATGAAGGGTATCAATATCAAATAAAAAAGAAAATGAATAATAGAAACGAAAGAAATGTGTATAAGTAATGCCAATTTCTCTCTTGCCATTTTCTTTTTTTGTTGCTTACATATATATTTATATAATCTGATAAGAACATAAGTACGGTGAGTAAGAAAAAGGTCTCGAAATTCGTATTGGGCAGAGAGTGTAGGATAGAGAAAAAGGGAGGAAATTCAATAGGTAAACGAGAAACAGAGAGACGACGAGAGAAAATGTTGATCACAGCTGTTCGTCATTTTCAAATTATTCTCTTGTTTGGATTATTTCTCTGCTGTTACAACTACTTGCACAATTTGGACACGTACACAAAGCATATATTAAAGTAATGTAGACGGAAGAAGAGAAAAAATTGGGCTGCTCTAGAATGTAATCCTTTAGTTCATAGTTCAGTAGAAGTAGAACTGAATGATTGCATCATTCTTTTATCGATCACAGCAAGCAGAAGTAAATGTCCAATAGAGAGAGAAAAATTTAATTCAAATAAAGCTTATAAATCCTCGTTTATCATACATATATACAGCTGACTTAATTTCACTTAAGGCAATCAATAGAGTCCTATCGCAGTGATAATAAAAATGCGCGCGCACACACACTAAGCTGTCTCTCACGATGATAATAAAAACGATCGTCGTGTATTGACGATATCAACTCACATCAATGTCTAACGAGAAAAGGTATTACGCCAAGTGCCATAAAAAAAATTGAGAAGGTGCTTTTTCTTTCTCTCTCTCTCTCTCTCTCTCTCTGTCTCTCTTTTATACGTCCATAATTTTCGTTCTGTAGTTTAATGAAAAAGAGAAGAAAAAGTCTAAGCATAAATGTTTCGACTCTAACGGCATTTTTGTATATTTTAAGGTGATAAATTTCGTTTAAAAATTTGTACGACATTACGTGAAGATGGTAAACCAGATACAGGCGAATTCAATCAACATGATGGTGCTCCAAGTCGCGCCGATCAATTTGAATACGTAATGTATGGACAAGTCTATCGAATTGAAGGTGATGAATCGAGTACCACTGATACGGCTTCTACATTGTAAGTTGAAATTAAAACAACATTTTCTTTTAAAATAAATGTTTAACGTTCATTTGCTCGTACCCGGCAGTGTTTTTGCACGCGACCAATAAAAGACTGTAAATGCATTGGTCTGGTACGAACCATTGTAACGATATAATTGTTATTGTGTGATTTATATTTATGTTTTATTCTTAGTCCAATATATATATATATATATATATATAGATTGCAATCGGTTTTCTTTTTGTTCTCTGATTTAGATCTGCCTATGTGTCATTTGGTGGTCTTTTAATGCGTTTAAAAGGTGATGCCAACAATTTACATGGGTTCAAAATTGATTCAAATGTCTATTTACTCATGAAGAAATTGGCTTTTTAAAAAGATAAAAGACAAACTTTGTATTGTTATTGTTCTTTTTTTCCCTGTGTGTCTTGTTAAAACGAGAGAGAGAGAGAAAAAAAATCCACGCAACAGATATGTGTTCGTAATTAAAATAATGTTTGCCTATTTACAGCATTCGATTTTGCATATAAGTCAAGGGCATAATTTCACATAAAATTTGTTTGCGTCTCTTTTCTCAAGTTCATAGTCATTTTTAGAGACCCTGCTACGGAATAAATTTTCAATGAGATACTCATTACTTTAGGTTAATCGAACCTTGTCACATTGGTCAATGAGTCATCGAACCTAAAATTGAAGAATTCAAAGATTCCGGAATCTATGTGGATTTATGCTTGATTTATTTAGCCATCGTGCACATCACCGTGAATAAGCAAATTCATGATTGAATAACTCGGCAATAAAACAAAATACTTCTTTTGATAATAACACACTTCAAAACTTCTAGATTTTGTTTTATCAACATAGAAAAAGAAAAATTTTATCTTATTCGCATGTCCGCCCACTGTACTTTCTAAGCGCTTAAATATTTTTATCGTTAATAATCACGTTGGTAACAAAGAACAAATGAATCGTTTAAAAATCTTTATTTTTATTATATATCTACGCCTATATCAATCAATTTTTCGTTTGCGTATTTAAATGAAACGTAACCAGGATAATTCATCAGCAGCCGTCCATCAATCAACACTAAAACAAAGGTTACATTTTTTTTGCCAACAAAAGCATTTCATTTTAATCATTTTCTTTTTCAATAATTATTAGTTTAGAAAATCAATGTCAGCCGAATGAATTAAGGCCATTTTTTTTCTGCCTGTGTAATCCGTCTAATAGAATCGATATTTCCAATAGTAAATTTTGTACATGTGAAGCATATAATCGAAATAATAATGCTGATATTCAAGAGGAAAAGCTTTATCCATGTATCAGAAAAATTTATAATAACGATACAGATCTGCTTGAACAGGTACATGTTGTCATGTCAAAAGACAAGCCGGAAAATGCAATCACTGAGCCACGCCGTCGACATGGACGAATTTCAAAACAACGTGCAAAACTTTTCATTACTGAATATTGTACTCGTAAAAACGATGATAACATTTCATTCGAGACAAATAAAAGAAATCTTGAGAGAATTTACGGTCGTAAAAGAAGTGAGCTATCAAGCTAAGAAATCGGAAGTGCATTATTCGTGTATTTTCTGAATTATGATAGAAGCTGTCGGACAGCTATAAATTGATCGTAAACAAATAAATACGCGAAGTAAAATTGAGTTCTTTTTTTATCAACTGAAAAAATGCTAGAATGTAAACAAATCATTTCTGAGTCATTGTAAAAAAAAGAGGCGGGAATAAAAGATTTTTTTGTTCTGATAAACTTTCATTGGCGTTAGTTGTACAAATCGTCATCTTCATTTCTACGATTGCTACCACTACCACCTATTTAAACAAAACAAAAAAAAGTAAAGTTTAGAAATAAAAAAAAAAATTCGCTTTTCTAGTATTTACCGCTTCCTTCTTGTGATGGTCTTTCTTGATCGGGAAAACGGAATTGTGAACCGAAACCACGTGATTGTTGTAATGTTTGAGCGAACATTTCATATTTCCGTATATCATTGTCACTAACGGATCTTCTAGCAAATTTCATTGCCTCTTCAAAATGATCTCGTCGAATTTCGGGAACAAGATCAGGTTCATCAGCGTCCATAGCTGCTTGTCCGTCACGTATTCGATCTTTTTCTCGATTGATATCTTTCTCTATAGATTCGCGTATAGCTAATTTACATGCACGTTGACATATTTCTGTTAAATCAGCACCACTAAAACCTTTGGCAACGCTTGCCAAAAGTTGAAGGTCAACATCTTTGGCTATAGGTGATTTTCTCAAAGCAGATTTCAGAATAGCAACACGAGATTTATCATCTGGCAATGGAATATAAATCAATTGATCAAGACGACCTAAATATTCGAGATTTAGCTTTATTGGAATCTTTAATTTTATTACCTGGTCGAAGAATAGCGGAATCAATAATATCTGGTCGATTTGTTGCACCAATAATGAAAACATTCTTTTTCGCACCCATACCATCCATTTCAGTTAAAATTTGATTAATAACACGGTCAGCAGCACCACCACCATCACCGGCACTACCACCTCGAGCTTTGGCTAAATAAAACATCCTCTCATTATTATTCTGCACTGTTCTTTTTCTCTACTCGTCTTACCAATCGAATCTAATTCATCGAAGAAGAGTACACATGGTGCAGCTTGACGAGCTTTATCGAAAACATCACGTACATTAGCTTCTGATTCACCAAACCACATAGTTAATAATTCAGGACCCTTAATTGAAATGAAATTTGCTTGACATTCATTAGCAATAGCTTTGGCCAATAGTGTTTTACCTAAAATAAAAATCTAGTTTTTAACAAAAAAAAGGACTTAATAAGCTATTTTAACTTACCACAGCCCGGTGGTCCATAGAAGAGAACACCACGTGATGGTGTCATACCAAATTTGAGAAATTTCTCGGGATGTTCAACTGGGTATTGAACAAGTTCCTGTAATTCACGTTTAACAGTCTCTAAGCCACCAACATCTTCCCATGTTGTTGTTGGTATTTCAACAACAGTTTCACGTAAAGCTGATGGATTCGATTGGCCCAATGCAAATCGTAAATTGTCTTGCGTAACAGCTAATGAATCAAGTACTTCAGCGTCAATGGTATCTTCTTCTAAATCGATCACATCCATTTTTTCACGGATTTGTTGTAAAGCTGCTTCCGAACATAATGATGCTATATCAGCACCCACATAGCCATGCGTTTCATTACCAATTTGTACTAGATCGACATCGTCTGCTAATTTCATGTTTTTCGTGTGTATACGAAGAATTTCTAATCGACCGACAGCATCCGGAATGCCAATATCAACTTCACGATCAAATCGACCAAAACGTCGAAGTGCAGGATCAATTGAATTTGGTCGATTTGTTGCAGCCATAACAATAACATGTGAACGTTGTTTAAGACCGTCCATCAATGTTAACAATTGTGAAACGATACGACGCTCAACTTCACCATGTGTTTTTTCACGTTTTGGTGCAATAGAATCAAGTTCATCAATAAAGATAATAGCCGGAGAATTCTAAAATTATAATCAAAATTTCGTTTCTCTTCTTTTCTTTTTGTATTTTACCTTTTCCGCTTCTTCAAAAGCTTTTCGTAAATTTGACTCGGATTCGCCAGCTAATTTCGACATGATTTCCGGTCCATTAATTAGGAAGAAGAATGCACCGGTTTCATTGGCCACAGCACGTGCGATTAAAGTTTTGCCTAGAATTATTCAATTTAGATTTGCTTTTGTATTGTGAAAAAAAAATGAAGTCAATATACCTGTGCCTGGAGGTCCATAGAGAAGAATACCACGTGGTGGTTTAACACCAATAGTTTTAAACAATTGTGGATGTCTCAATGGTAACTCAACCATTTCTTTAATTTGTGCTAATTGTTTTCTAACACCACCGATGTCATCATAACCGATTTCATTTAATGAAGCTTCTTCTTCTTCACGTTTAATTGGATCACCTTCACAATGAATAGTTGTATCTGGCGCAACAATACAATATGGAGCTGGATCAGTTTCAATGACTTTAAATTCTACAGCGCGCATAGCTGCACGTACAATAAAAACATCACCTTTCTTAACTGGACGATAGGCTTCAAGAAAGTACGGTTTCAAGTAGACTTCAAATAGATTTCCCGTTATTCCTTCAACAGTATCATCAATAGGTAAAACGTGTATACGTTTACCATATTTAACATCTGAGCAGGCTTGAATTGAAACAATGTCACCGGAACGTACACGTAAATTATTACGGACAACACGATTCATTCGAATATGATCGTTTGGGCAAGCTTCATCGGCAAGTACAATAGATATTGTTTCACGACGTTTTTTACCTTTGAGTGTAACAGTATCTCCACGAAATAATTGTAATTCGTCCATTTTTTGTTGTGATAAGGCAACAACACTATTGTCATCATTGAGAGAATCTTCAATAAGGAGACGGTTTGGACGCTTTTTTTGATCTAAAATTGCTGTTGACAATTTATCTTGCTTAGTTTCGTCAGTAGCTTTAGCCATTCTTCAAATTCACTTTTTGCAGTAGAATGAATTTTTTATTATTATATCTAGATATAAAGAAATGAAAAATGAATAGAGAAAATTTATGACTATCAATTAGTAGCAATAAAATAAGAATCATGTAACGAGTTAATCAGATGGAATCTGTTTGATTGAAATTGTTGAATCTAAATAGAGAAATGAATAGTGGATATATTTATAATTAAATGATGTTCTGGTAGTTTAAAAAAGATACATCGCAAAAAAAGGATTTAATTATGTTTCTTTGAAGAAGATAGATGATAATTTCCAAGTCTATTTCAGCAATATATAGCGAAACTTAACATTTCGTTTCGAGTTATTTTGCATTAAATTCATCCGCATTCGTACGCTGGATTTCTTCTATATCGCGATCTTGTATTTGACACAAATTTGATTCTTCATGTTCTTGATCAGCCATTGATGCTTGACTACGCACATAGGAATTGATTGTTTGAAATTGATTATTATTCGTCATTAATGATTGCGCATAATTATTTTTAAGGCTTAATTGTTCCATTATATTTAGAACATATTCATTTGATACTAAATTGGGTCCATACTGAACAGTATACGCACGTGGATCTACTCGAACAGTATCAAGATGTCGAATATTTCTTACAAGCTCAATATCAGGAGCTTCATGTGTAATAATTGTATTTTTTTGTACCGATCTTTGTGGTAGCGGTTCAGCTCGTTCGACAATTACTTCCCGTTGCGGTGGTGTTTTATAGGGAAGCCATTTTTCAATAATTATAGGTGGAGGCTTTTGTGGTAACGGGGCTTGTCGTTCGATGATTACTCTTTGTGGAGGCGGTGGAGGTGCAGGTATATATTTATGAATAGTATGAGATGGCACTATCGGAGGTGGAACCGGTGGACGCTCACGAATTATAATTGGTGGTGGAGTTCTAGGGATATTAGAACGTTGGTAAATGGTCAACGGATGACGTTCGGGAGGAGGAGAAGCGCGAATCTCACGAATAATCAAAGGACCAGATGGTGGTGGAGTTGGTGGTTGTAAATAACGGATAGCTATATCTTGTCGATAAGTGATTCGATTGCTATTGGGACGTTGAATATATTCCACATCGGGATCTTGATTTAAACTTGTTGTTATTGTTTGATCGGCTAATTGATCAGTCATATTGTTTGATGGTGACTGTTGGTAAGGTTCTTTCAAATCCATCGAGGGATTATTTAGAACATAATTATCATGTTCGCTGTTTAAATGTTCTATGCTAGGTTCGGTTTGAAAATTTTCTGTAGAATAATTTATAGTTTCGACTGTACTTTCAGACATTTGTTTTTCCTTTAGCTTGCTTCCTCTTACTCCTCTTTTATATGTTTTCGATTTGATTAAAGTGAATAATTTTATAATGATTAATAGAATATTATTCAAGCGTAGCCAACTACTTACTTGCAGAGGCACGTAAAAGTGTTTATTCATGATCATTAACTTTTCTTCACAACACCATTAGACTCGTTCACGTGATACAACTATTGAAGCCAATAAATTAGAAATTATATAAATATTTTATTTTATTTATTTACATACTTTTCGGCCATAAGTCGCCCCATTGCACAATCAAACAAAAATCGTGACTATATTTGTAGAAAAACAACGTCATCTTTCACAGGAAAACAAGCACAACTATTCTAAATAACAAGCAAGAATCACTATTGGATAAGTTCTCTGGAAACTAAAAGATTCTGGTCTATGGTGTTTTAGCAATCTTTCCTTCATAGATTATGGGATCCTTTAGCTAAAATGTGACTCATTATGACTAATTTATGAGACATTGTTCTACAAACAAAGTCACCTTTGTTTTCAAAAGATCCTCTTGCATAAAGGGAAAAATTGTGTCAATAAATATCTGATTCTTAAAAAGTATGAATCCGTCCAAGACGTTTGCCCGGTTGAAAATTTTAGTAGGCAAGGTTGTGCCCAGGTTCACTGAAAGTAGTTATGAAAAAAGAAGTGCGAGCATGACTTGTCCAAGAGAAAGAGTCGCGACACTAATAGAGAGAGCAAAAATATTTACAAGTAATTAATATGGTTTCTTTGGAATTTAGTTTATTTCTACTTCCTAGAAATAAAACTTCATATAGGCTGGAAATTTTAAGTTTTTATGAATCGCGACGATATCGCGTTTTGTCAATTCTAGGAACTTACGGAATAATGAAAATTTGTCCCAAGATGATATTTTAAGATAAACCATGAATGCATTGAGTTGGTTTTTGTTTTTGCCTGAAATATCCAATTTCAGTTTATTAAATAACATTCAACAATGAGCAATGATGTAAAACTGAGTGCATTCTATTGAAAATAAACCAAGTTTTAAACGACCTGTTCTTCTTTATTTTTTTCCTACTTACATCGAGTGAAAATGTTGTTTTTCCAACATGCAATGTTTATGACATTCATGCAGTTGATTCAGCTCTGCATGAAATCCAACGTTTAAAATTCACCTTAATGTGGTGGCCTGTAGAGAAAAATTTAATTTTAGATTTTTATATTTTAATAAAACTTACTTTATTTTTATAGATGCCAACATTGATGGCAAAATTGCACCACTGATACAAAAACGACGCAAGGTTAAAATAGCTGTGTGCACAAAAAACTGAGTTTTTGTGTGATTCATTTACTTTTAATAATATATTCAACCTATCAGCTACTGCCAAAGCTTTAACAAGAAAGAGAAGTAAACGAAAGCAACGATTATTGTTCTTTTTCTTTTCTTTTCATTGTTAGCCGAGAAACTTCTTTGCCTTACAAGAAGTTTGTATTCAACTTGATGATTTTATTCACTGAAAAAATCTAGACAATATATGCTGGATTCATTGAAAACAAAATGAATGACCGTATGTTTCTGATTAATTGAAATGCAAAAAAAACTGCAACGTCATCATAAGTGCATATCAACAGTATTAGTACTTAGTCACCGAGAGTAGAAAATTCTTTTTTTTTATCATTGTTAGTTTTATAGGGATGAATAAGAACATGACAGCACGCTGATTCTTGTACGATATGCATTTGTATAGATGACGCTACCGAACAGTTTTTCTGTTTGCTAACAAAAGTGCACATGGAAATATTATTTTCAAATAGATACCAAAGTCATGTCACATATCATATCATAGCTGTATACAATCATGATTTCCTTTTAATCTTATTGTGCTTCATTCAGCTATGCTCACTCATATTATCACCAAATCAAATGACAGACTAGTATCGACAAGTAACAATGATTTGACTCAATACACAAAGTTTGGGCAAGGAAAGAAAGATAAAAACCTTGTTAAATACAGCACGCACTACGCAGAAGATGTTCACTTTACAGGAGGATTTAATGTATCATTATTGTAATACATTGAATTAAGATTATTAGTTCTAGTGAATAATCGGACACATGCAACGACGATAGGTGAGATAAGTAATAGACATGCATACGACAGTTCCAAAGAGTATTTGACAAATATGATTTTGTATTCGACGTATAAAGTATCTTTGTAATTTCACTATAAACACTATTCTCCATAGATTACATGTCATTGTGGATCTAGAATTATTCTTATTTTTATCAAGCAAATACAATTACTTGCAATGCTACAAATGTGAAGTTGAAGTCTTTCAAAGTAAAAGATATCTTTAAGGCGTCATTTGTTTTCAATGTTTTTTTTTTCAATATTTAATACAATTAATTATTTCTGAATAATTGTAATGAAAAGATATCTTTCTAAAGCAATAATCCTGTTCGAAAAGAATTTGATTTCCGGTAGAATATAATTTATTAATTTAGAAAGAAAAGGATTTCTTTGTTACAAATTATTGATCTTCGTATAAAGGGAGGGAGAAAACGGTAATAAAGAGGATAACTTCGATATCTTTTTTTCATTTGAATTTAGATCATACATTCAAGAGAGAAGATGACGTTAGATATTTTCTTGTTCGATTGAACAAGAAGAAGAAGAGAGATCAAATGCGAATTTTGATTTCTTTTTTTTATTGATGAAGATAAATAAATGTGGAAACATCGGATTTCATCCGAAAGCTATGTGTACTGCAAAAAGTACATGGGACATATGGGTCATTCTAGAATGTCTGAACACCAAAATTACCATGAGAAATTAGGCACTTTGGTTTCTGGATGCAGTTTTTGTGCATTTTGAGACCGTTTTCAGGCGATATTTCGTTAGAAAGCTACGATTTAGTTCAAAACTAGTATCAGATTCTGAATCAGCGTTAAAAACTGAGTCGATTTATATATGTTGTGAATAATTCTGAGAAAAAAAGTTTTTTTGAAAAAATCCCTGTACCCCCCTCCCCTCAGGGATGGTCTAGTCAATAATGACAATTTTTTCGATAACTCAGCCATTTCTTCACAGATTGCTTTCATCTTCGAACTCGACTGAGATATTGATGAGATCATTCTGTGTACAAAATTTCATGACAATTTGATGAGGCTTTCAAAAGTTATCGTGTTAACGGCCGGAAACACTGACCGAATCTAGAGTGTACTCATTTTTTTGGAGTACACAAAAATGATTAAGATATGTACGAAAGAAAAAAAATTAGATAATGTACAAGCATAGTTTTCATTTTATTCAACTGATAAGAGAGAGGATTTCAGGAAGAAAGCTTCCAAAGCTAAGCACAAATAGCTTTCACATCACCTTTTTTACAGTAAAATAATTGCATGCTTAGCTGGAATTTTCAAGCATTTCACTATGAATTGAATTGGAATAATATCGTCTTTACTATTTTATGTTATCATAAATTGACGCAAATAATTGAGATATATGAGGAACAAGTGTAGTTTTGCTAGACAGTTATCTGTATCAATCATATCAAAAGCAACTCTCCTTCAAAAGATCATCCAATGTTTTTGTCTATTTTTCATTGCTCCTGTTACTTTCGTTATTGTTTATACAAATGTATTTTGTCATTACGAACTTTTTCTCTCCTCAGATACAGACGAACAAACCAGTATGCTATGTATCGATATCATTTTCACTAGCATCTACTCTCGTACCGTCCATTGAGAAGAGTTACTCTATTTCTTTTGATCTCATAATCAAATTTATAAATTTGTGACTTAAAATGAGTGGATACATATTTTTACTCATCTGGTGGTGATTTCTACTATAAAGAGTATTCATTTTGTTTTCCGAAATGTTTTCTTTTTCATACAATTATTTTGTAAACAAGGAAATCTAAGGGAAAAGATGCAAACAGATGTCAAATATTCATTTTTAGTATATCTTATGGAAATTAAAATCAAAAAATCATATTTTACTTTTCAAGATACAGTTTTTTTCAGCATAATGCCATATTGCTTATTCTATTAAATTTATTATAGACAGCATTCATGTTCGCCACTAGAGTAAGTAACAAGAAAGAGAAAAACTGTTATGTCATTGTTTTCATTGACGGAATCGGTCAAATTGAATAAATCTATATAAATGAAAATAAATTGATAGGTGGAGTTACATGATTTAACTGATGAGATTCTTCTTCTTATTTTTAAAAAACTGGACAAAGCTGAAGTGCTCTACTCATTTCTAGGTGTTAATCAACGATTTACTAGACTTGTGCATGATTCAATTTTTACAAATCGTCTAACACTGACAAAAGGTTTAGATGATGGCTTATTTGATCGATTAGATAACCAAAAACTTGAACGGTTTTGTTTACAAATTTTGCCTTCGATTCGTCATAGAATCGAATGGTTGGGTGTTGAAGCATCATCTATGGAAAACATTCTTCTTTGTACAAGTTATCTCAACTTATATGGACTTGGTTTACATGGTATCGAGGAGAATACTGCATTACGCATCTTTACTGGTAAGAGATTTTCCTTTGAATTTTTCCTTACTCGTTAATATTCCAACAATATAGATAAATAAGTAAAATTGTAAAAAGATTCTTCATGCAATTGTGCTAAACGACATTTTTTATGTCAACGGTAAAAAGAACGATGTCATTAGAAGTCAGCGTGCTTAGATAGAGAAAACTTGGTAATATTGTAGAAAGAAAGAGAAATTAAAATAGATGCAACAATTTGATCCTCATGTTTGAAATCATTCATTACTGATTTTATATTTATTTTAGACGAAACTCCTTTAACTCGCTTGCTTCAGGATAAAATTACATCGCTTGTTATTGATACTATTCTATCTGAAGATACATTTACAGAAGGTGCGAAGCGTGCAGATGTATTTGCCTGCATTTTAACCTTATTCTCAAAGTGAGAATGCCTCCACTATGGGTCAAGTGATTGGGATCAACCATTATTTCAAATTCCTGCAACTATTTCTTCTTCAACTCTGTTAGAATTGCATGTTATATTGGAAACATTTACCGATTGTCTGTATTTACTTGACGGTCGTTTTAACTCACTTCAAAAACTTTTCGTTGATGTTTGTCGGATAGTATCTCCACGGATAATAATCGATAATCAGGTGAATTGCACAGTTTAATATCGAATGAAGTAAAATAAAATTAATTTTTTTTCTAGAAACAAATACCCAATCTAAAACATTTTTTGCTCTATAGTGAACGGGATACAGATAAGTATAATGAATTGATTGTACCACTTGTATATCGAATGACCAATCTAGAAGAACTCAATTTACATCTTGTTGTGTATTGTGAGAAAAGATCTATTGATGGTTATGATTTAAAACGCAATATTATCAGTCATTTATTGCAATTAAATAAATTTGTATTTAACATACGATCACGTTTGTCTCTAAATGATCAGGCTTATGTATCGTCAAATGAAGATTGTCAACGTTCATTCAATGGTTTTAAAAATAATAAAATTATTTCATGTATTGATTATTTCCCAGATCGCAAAGAAGGTCAATGTCATATTTATTCATATCCATATCCAGCAAAATATTATGAATATATTACAAATAATTTCCCAGATGGATTGTTTAAATATGTTCGTGAAGTCTCATTATAGCGTCGAAAAAAATTAGAATAATTTGCCGTTTTAGACCGTCGTTTTCATGATATCGAATTTTTACTGAAATCTTCAACAGAAACCTTTACTTCCCATCAGATCACGTTGAAAGTTGAGTATAACGAATGTTATCAATGAAACTAGTTTGTTCTGAAAGCTTCATTTCTTAAATTGCTGCTAGCATAAGATTGAAACATGCGGACACCGTTTACTTTTCCAAACAACCGAATTTTGAATAAACATATCTCACAATAGATTAGATTCCACATTTAACACGCTTTATATATATATATATGATGAATAATAATACTCCACGATTTAAGAAAAAAGCTCGCCCAGATATTGAGCTAAGAAATACTACTCTGTTACTTGTTCCGAAATTCTTCTCGTTCAACTTACAATTCGATATGGTTGTTTGTTTTCATTGGTAGACTAAAGAAAACAATACAAAAAATACAAACGGCTGTATCGTAATCTTTATACTTGTGTTGATAAAAGAAATATATTTTAAAAAAACGTAAGCAACAGCTGAACAGAAGAGTTGCTCTTCCCTATATAACTTCATAACAATTTATCAAAAATGGTCTTGACAGAAGCATTGCTCATTTTTGTAAAAATAATGAATGCGATTAACATGACGGATAATCATATCGATGTGTCGAAGTTTTGTAACTGCATCTTAAATAAAAGAAAATACAAATATTACTAAGAACAATCAAGATGAAAATAATTAACTCGCGACAATCACCACAAATTCGACGGTCCTTAGTAATTTGAGTAAATTCAGGAAGAGGTCGTGGAATTAATTTAAAAGCTATTGCTAATTTTTCACTGTGGCCACATAAAACAGGTTCAATAGTTTTGTCTTTATTTAGTTGGCGAGTTATCCAAGAAGAATCAATCGATTCAAATCTGAAACGATTCAGCATAGATTGATGATGGTTGTGGATGAGAATGATCATGCGCTTTGAACAACTAGAAAATCAACGATTATTCATTGTATTATTTTGGTTTTTCAAAGAAATATTTTACCATTACTTCAGCCAATGATAATCCTACTTTAACATTAGCTCCTAATTCCTTTTTTTTTGATCAGATCGAAAGTCTTTTGATAATTGATGTTCACCAATAGATGAGTAGATATTTGAAAGAAGAATTGCACCGGATAAAAGTTTTTCTTTTTGATTAAGAAACAAAGATTTCATTTGATTATAAATCTTTTCAGACAAAATACGATTACGGCTATTACGAAGACCATATAATAACGCCACTAAAATTAAAAAGTTAAACAATAAACCAATACAATAATAGAGTTAAATAGAAAACAACTAACTATACTTGACAAGACTTGCCATGTTCGTCTTTTCATATTCATCTAACAATTTCTGTGTTCCATCAAATAAAAATAAACGACTTAAACAGGCAATCTAAAGTATACGAAGAAATAATCATATGACTAACACAATAAATAAAATCGATGAACTAACCATAATATTTATGATTTTTACTGTTTTAACAGGAATTTCATTAAAAACAGTTCGAGCTTTATCAAGAAGACCCGAATGATAATATGTATTTAACATACAACTATGAGTAATTTCATCACGTAGATTAACTGGCACCGTTTTATATAATTCAACAGCTTCAGGACCCATTATCCGTTAACGACAAAAGAAAGTGATCTTATAATTAACCAGAACAAACCAGAAAGAATTCAATATATTTACTCATGGCTGTGTATGTCACTTATCGTGATCATGAAGAAGTTTGTATAAATTTTGTGCACTTTCAATTGAACTACATTTGCCGTATACGAAAAACAAAACCCAGACAGTGATCAATCAATGAATTCAGCAATCAATATTTGCTCACATATGAATCAATGAGTTTTTACTCTATTTTAATTTTGCATATCCAAAGGAATTTGATCAACAATATTTTGACATTGTCGAATCATACCTATTTTTGAGCATGCACCTATAAGTAAATTCCAGACAATCTCATTTGAAGCAATATTTTGTTGTTTCATTTCATTGAAAATCTTCACACATTTCCATGGTTCATCATTCATATTGTAGCCATTCATCATGGCACCATATGTAATAATACCCTTGTTTTTTGACTGATTTAAAAACACATTCAGCCATTTAAATATCACCCAATTTCATCAGCAAATGTATTACTGAAGCCAATACAACATTATTATTACGATAATTATTGGGTACTTGATCATGGAGTTTTTTTCCTATTTTCATTGCTCGATCATTGGCAACGCGAGAACGTGTATTAAATAAAACAGTAAGAGTAAAACTATCAAGTTTAATCGTGATTTCATCAAATAAATCAAACACTTTCTCTGACTGACATGTTATTAGAAATAAGACCTATTAATAAAAACAAAAGCAAAAATTAATAGATCACAATCTTACAAAATAAATTACCTTTGAGCATCATTGTATACGTATGACTGTATTTGTTTTTCATGGTAGAAAATAAATGAATTGCACTATCGACATCATGGCATTGCACTAATGACAAACGGAATAAGATCGATCTGTAATTATGTATATCTATATATGTACTAAGTTTTAATAAACGGTTAGTTTCATTGATGACTTGTAGAAAATCTAGATAATTAGACTAAGATGAAAATACAGTACTTACTTGATGGGCCGTGTTGTGAATACCTGATAATTCTTTGCAGTAAACCGCAGTATTTATCCTTTCTGTGGTAAATTACACTGATATGGGAGCCGGTAAAACCCCGGTTAACCGCCGATTTTCATGCGGTGTTTGTGGCATGGGGAGCAGAGACGTGCACAGGGCAGGACAGCCAAGGATACGAGAAAAAATTATATCCTGTGCATGTCTCTGTTGCAAACTGTCGATCGACAAGAGATCTAGTGCTTGTTTATATTGTTGAGAATCAATAAGTTTTTTCGCTGTTACGTTTAATTTTGTAGATGATAAAAGCGAAAATTTGTTATCGTTTTTCTGGCATGAAGATAATAAACGTCGAAATAGATAAGCAGAATAACTATTATTTTTAAACAGTAACATGTTCTAGTCTAAAACAATAAAAATAATACTAAAACATATGTTTTTTCGAAGTCTAAAGAAATATAATCGTAGAAAATATTTTTCTGGATTCAGCAGCAATGCCATTATAACTAATTTACAGATGTCACTATAACTTGGTTTCATTCTATCATAATAAATCTACATATATGAACTTTATCATTTTAATAATAGACGAAATTGTAAAAAATATACTCTATCGCCATCCATTCACGTCATATTTTCACTATAGTTTCGTCATTAACAAACAGAACTAATTGGTTCTTGCATCATTTAAAGTAAGACGATGAGTCATGTGTTTCATGTAATCTGAAAATCAAATTCAATTAAAATTTTCTATTTGAATTATTGATATTTTAGCATAAAAATGCAAAATCTTGGTTTCTACAATACAAGAGCCATAGGATTACATGATTTAACCGGTGCTAATGTTGCTCGACGTTTTGCTATTGATACAGACAAGCAAATAGTCTATCTATTGAATTCTCATTCTATATATTCATTAACATTAGAAGATGAAAAACTGAAATCTATTTACACAACAACTGATAAAACAATAACATTAGAAGATTTATCTTATATTTCAGAATTAAATCATTTATGTTTTGGTTTATCCAATGGCGATTTAGTTTCAATACAATTCGATAATGATTTCGATGAAAATGTCAATGTTATTGGCACATTAGAAGAATGTATACATGAACTAAAATCAAGTCCTGATCAACAAATACTTGTTGCGGTAACAAATAGTAAAGTACTTTTACTTTCAACAAATAATGATTATGAACCTATTGCTGAAGCTATACTTGATACAAGTGAATTTGGCGAGCAACAATTAGTCAATGTCGGTTGGGGTTCAAAAACAACACAATTTCATGGATCAGTTGGCAAGAAAGCTGCTCTTGAAACGGCTCAGACAACGCCTGCAACATTAAGAGCAAATCATGATGATAATCGTAGTCGTATTGTTTGGCGCGATGATGGCGATCTATTCGCTATATCATTTATTTCGTTAACAAATCAATGGCGTACCATAAAAATCTTTAATAAACAAGGTCAATTACAAGCAACAAATGAATCGCCATTAAATGGTTTTATTGAATCGGCTATAGCATGGAAAATAAGTGGAGAATTCATTGGTGCTGCTATGAGATTTAATAATGGACAAAAGTTGACAATCAGTTTTTTAGAAAAAAATGGTCTTAAACATGGAGAATTAGTTTTAGAAACAGGAGAAAATATTGAACAATACGTCGAACATATCGCATGGAATAAAGATTCAACTATTCTCGGTCTTGTCCTTCATAAAGAGGTATTTAACAATTGTCTTCTTTGTTTGAATATTTTAAAGAGATAACTGAATTCTAATCATATTTCTATTTAAGAACGATTCGTATCTTCAACTATGGTCATCGAGCAATTATCATTGGTATTTAAAACAAAATATTCCATTTTCATCTGTTAACATTCAATCACTCCTATGGGATATTGATATAGCCAATAAACTTCATTTAATTACGAACGATGGTCAATATCATTCAGTGACTTGGTCGTGGATAAGTCAAGTTAGTTATACAAATACTCGTTCGCTTGTTTTTCTTATCGATGGTTGCCATTTATTTGTATCGGATTTTACACATTCATCAATTCCACCACCAATGTCTTCCTACGAAATTGTTTGTCCATTGCCTATACTTGCTGTCGCTTTCGATGATGATCATGATCAATTGATTCTCATACTATCGGATCGTTCTCTTGCAGTATGCGGTACATCATCTTGTCTTTCGGATTATCGTACAATAATTCGTTTATCGGAAATCAAATCAGCTCATTATGTTTCATCAATCGTATCATCAGCAGAGTCACCAATAAAAAGTATTCATCATGCAACACATTATCGTCTTATAAATCAAGAATTTTATTTCATTGAAAATTCTCATTTACACATTTATAATCTTCAAACTAAGACAATAAAAACTAGTTTATCATTAAACTTCAATTGTTTAACAACAGCAGTCGACCACGAAGAAGTAAAACATTTATATCTAGAAGATGAACATGGAAAAATATTTCAATTGGACAACAATGAATTACATGCTAAAATGCATTTTCCTCGGCCGTGCCCACATTTTTCAGCTGTATTAAACGGACGATTTGTTGGTCTAACAGAAAACTATCGTTTATATTTAAATACTGCGGAACTTGCGCATAATTGCAATTCATATTTTATTCATGATAAAACCATACTTGTCTATTCAACTTTACAACATCAATTAGCTTTTCGATCGTTGATAAACGATGAAATTGTTGCAGGGATTAGTCAACGACGAACTGGTAAGTACGAAAAAGACTATGACCCGGATGAAGGCTTGAGCATATAGAAACAAAACCAAAGATGTGAAGCGACTATAGTAAAATACCTTCGTTCAAGTTAGTTCGTATGCAAAATCTCCAGTCAAAATTTGTAGTGATAAATTAAGTTCATTTAAAAAATGACTGCTTTTTTTATTATAGAACGTGGCACTCGCATCGTCTGTACGGCTTTCACAGATTTAAAACTTGTTCTACAAATGCCCCGTGGTAATCTTGAAACAATCTATCCTCGACCATTACTATTAACATATATATCTGCTGATTTAATCGATAGTGAAACGACAAATTACAAACGTGCATTTGAATTAATGCGAAAAAATCGTCTGAATCTTAATTTTCTCTATGATTATAATCCAAAGCAATTCTTCGACAATATTCCATCGTTTATATCGAAGACTCGTAGTGACGATGATATATGTTTATTTATAAGTGAAATTGATAATGAAAAAAATACTCGAGAAGAATATATGAAATATATATTAAAACAAGAAAAACATCCTCCAATCGATGCTAAAATATGGCATCCGAAAGCAAATTTATTGTGTGAAAAATTTCGTTCGTGTCTTCTATCAACAGAGAATTGTACTGAGCACATGAATTCTATTTTAACAACATTTGTAAAACAATCGCCATCAAACATGGAAGGTGCTTTGGTATTTTTAAGTCAACATCCGAAATATTTCGATAATGCTATACGTTATTTAACCTATTTCATTGATATCGATCGTTTGTATGATACAGCATTAGGCACATATAATTTTGATTTGGTTTTAATGATAAGTGAAAAAACACAAAAAGATCCGAAAGAATATTTACCGGAGTTAAATCAATTACGTTTAATTAATAATCATCATTGGCAAAAATTCAAAATTGATTGTCGTTTAAAACGCTTTAAAAAAGCGATTGAAAATGCATGTGATTATTTCGTTGAACAATTATTGAATAGACCAGATGAACATGAAAATGATAGATTTCAAGAATTTATTAATATTTTAGAAAATAATCGTTTTTATAAATTGGCCATAAGAAAATTCCTCTCGAATCAACAGATTAAACCAACGATGGAATATATTAATCATATTATTAAATTATATGCAGATTATTTAATGACGAAAAAATATTACGTTGAAGCTGCACTTATTTATGAAAGAGGAAGATTTTTCGATCATGCAAGTAAAGCTTTTAGACAAGGAAAAGATGTACAAAATTCATTGAAATTATTACCAAGCGTTTCCGTCCAAGCAAAACAAGTGAGTTGCTTTTGTTTTCAGTTTAGTACACAATTCAAATCGTGATCTAAATCATAATAAAGTTTACTCATATCGAATGATTTTCTTTATATTGGTAGTAACATCTCGTATGAATATTCTCATTTTTTCTAGCCAAACACTGGCATGGATCAATATCATTCATTAGCCGAACAGTTTCGTAACGATACTTTATACATCGAATCTGGTCAAATCTATGAAAATCATCTTGACGATTATGAAGAAGCACTTCTTTCGTATTTGCAAGGTCATGAATGGTCGCATGCCATTCGTCTATTTGCAACATCATTATCTAGACGACATGATTTATACGAACATGAATTTTTATCCGCATTCAATGGTGTCTATGATGATTTACAACGACAAATTCATAATGATTATGAAAAAGTTCAATCGCATACAAAACGTCTTTCATTCTTACGAACAAATCTTTTTCAACATATAAAAGAGATTCTTGATTCAGGTCGAGATTATGATATCGACGAAAACGATGATCAATCCGATAATGAAGATCCACAATTTGCCGATGATCGACGAACGTTAGTGACTCGTTCCAATCGCAATGCTGATGATAGTGGTTCGATCAAAACACGTTTAACGAAAAAATCCGGTTCCGTATCTTCCAGTAAAAAATCTCAACGACGTGCTGCACAACAATTGGAAAAATTGGTTCAATTAAAAGAAGGTTCTAAACATGAAGATCTTGCCATAGTACGTGAACTGTGGTTATTAATAACTAAAATTGATAAACAAAATTACGATGTTCGTCATGTGAATAAGATCTGCTATCAAATAAGTACGCATCAAAATTCTCTAGAATACGAACAAAAAGGTGAACTGCTACAAAATAAATACAATGAATATTTGAATGCCATTGAAAAACAATTAACAACAATATGGTTAACCAATCCTGAACAGCAGCAACAGGAGAATGTGCAAGTTATGGTCATCAATAAAAAAATTCGCGAAAAATTTAAAAAGGAACTGGATCTTGTCTCGAATCAATATCGTGTTTCACCGATATTAGCTTCAAAAACTTCGCAATGGAAACTTGTTCTTTTCGATTCCGATATTTCTGTTTAAAATAACAGTGTTGATTTTTTTTTCATTTTTTCTTTGTTTTCAGATTTTGAATAAAAGCAGACCAGACGTCATGGCCGAAGCGAACGACGATTTCTATTTACGATATTATGTGGGTCATAAAGGAAAATTCGGACATGAATTTCTCGAATTTGAATTTCGTCCTGATGGCAAATTACGTTATGCAAATAATTCGAATTATAAAAAAGACACATTAATTAGAAAAGAAGTTTATATTAGTCGAACTGTTGTTGATGAACTTAAACGTATTGTGAATGAAGCAGACATTATGAAAGAAGATGATGCTGTTTGGTAAGTCATTTTATCGTGCGTACTTCTAGAAAATCTGTTTCCTTAGAAAAGTCTAGAAGTTTTTGTCTTGAAAATGCGCTAAAAATCAAGATTAATGTCTATAATGTAATTCTAGGCCACCACAAGATCGTACAGGTCGACAAGAATTAGAAATCGTTCTTGGTGATGAACACATTTCATTTACAACAGCAAAAATTGGTTCTTTAATCGATATTAACAATAGTCGCGATCCAGATGGTTTGCGTTGTTTTTATTATTTAGTTCAAGATTTGAAATGTATTGTTTTCTCGCTTATTGGCCTTCACTTCAAGATACAACCTATCTAAATATGATGAAATAAATAACTGGAATTGAATAAACTCTTTGATTGTGTTTTCTCTATGTGTTTTGGTTTATACTTTGTTTGCAAGGCCATTTTGGTTGTTTACACCAATGAACAAGATGTATTTTTTGGTTGTAGATGAATAAATCTTCGTCTTGTTTAAACAAGTTTGATTGGATATCAAACTATGGACCATCATTCGTTATACCGGCATCTAATTTCGATGTTCTATACGAACCATCGGACTTCTTTCAAGAACTAAATAATATATTTGCTAGTGCAAAGAAACGCATCTACATTTCATCTCTGTATTTTGGTACTGATCCATATGAGTATAAATTGGTAGATATTATTTGTCAAATGAAATAGAAGGATAATTCTTCATGTTTACGATTAGATTGATTCAATACGAACAGCACTTGAAAAAAATCCATCTTTACGGTTGGTTGTATTACTTGATCATTTACGTGGTCTTCGCATTGATAATCATGCTGATAAGACAACTTCAAAATCAATGTTTCTTCCTCTAATTGAAAAATATCCATCTCGAGTCGATTTTTATCTTTTTCATACACCGCTTCTCTCTGGTCTGCTACGTAAATTAATGCCGGCACGAATCAATGAATCATGGGGTGTGCAACATATGAAAATCTACATGGCTGATAATAATTTAATTATAAGTGGGTAAAAATCATATTTTATTAATTTCCTTTTCTTAAAATCAAGTTTCAATTCATTTTTCTTTATCTTTTTAGGGCTAATCTAAATAAATCTTATTTCGATCATCGACAAGATCGATATTTAAAATTAGTCAATTGTTCACATCTATGTAAGTTCTTCGTTGATATTATTCAAACAATGGCAAAACAATCATTTAAAATCGAAAAAAATCACGAAGAACCTATTTTTATGGGTGAACATCATCCGTATCAAGGTGATAATAGTAAATATTATCTTCAAGTTGAAAACGATCTTTCATCACTGATGAAAACATATCAAATACGTTATCCAAAACCGAAATCTTTAACAAGCGATCAAGCTCTTGTTGTACCATTGATACAAATGGGATTGTTTAATATTAATAACGATCGAGATTTTAACATCTATCTTTACTCTCATTTGCCATTGAATTCTAAACTCTATCTTGCTACATCTTATTTCAATATAACAGAAGAGTATGAAAAAGAATTAATCGATAATAAACGCAATGATACACAAGTTAGTCTATTAACAGCATCACCACAAGCCAATGGTTTTTATGGTAGTCGTGGCATAAGTCGTTTTGTACCAGCTGGTTACAGTGAGAATGAACGTGAGTTTATGGAACGAGCAGAAAGAAAATTTTCGAATGATGGACAAATACAAATGTTGGAATATTACCGACAGCAATGGACTTATCATGCAAAAGGTTTATGGTTGTATGACAACGATAAAGATAATAATAATAATAATTATCCAGTATTAACTTGTATTGGATCGCCAAATTTCGGTTGGATAGATTTTTATATTTTCTAAAGAGATTTGATTTTTGCTATTTTCTAGGAGCTCGTTCAATTCGACGAGATCTTGAAGCTCAATTAGCTATTGTCACAAATAATGAAGAATTAAGTGCTAAATTTCATCGTGAACGTATTCAACTTTTTCAATATGGAGCAATTGTTACGTCTGATACATTTAAGCAATTATCACGTGGTGTACCGTTTTGGGGACCATTGTTTATGAGATTTTTCCGAAATTTTTTCTGAATTATGTGTTGAGAATAACAATAAACGATAGGTTATAGTTGTTATTATATTATAGTAATGGTCAAAAATAGAAACAGAACTTTTCTATTGAAGCAAAGAGGCGTGAGTGTGACTGTTTATCTCCAATAGTTCACACCCACATCCAACTTTTTCATCTACACCCAAGGAACAGGAAGTTGTTGACCCAGGTCGAACATTCCGGTCCCGGAAACGGCCGGTTCTGTGGTATTCCGGAGATTTCATGGAAGCAGTATTCCGGTGAAACGATCCGGTTCCGGCCGGAACAGACAGGAACCTGCCAAAACTGGTAGCCGGATACGGTTTCCGGATTCCTGCATCGAATTCCGGACAATTCCCGATGGGTTCCGGTCGGAAACAGCGAGTTTCTTGCAGGTCTTCGCCGGAAATTCACGGAATACTGCTTCAGGAATCATTGTCCTGGGGACGTATTTAAGACGCAGTTTTGATAAGGCTTTTAGTTTTACTTTGGGTTCCCAGCGAGGAAAAAAATTATTTTTACTCTTCAGCGTAAGTAAACAAACAGGCATTTTCAATTTTTATTTCAAGGCGAAACGACGAAGGTGAGTGTTCGAAACAACAGATGCCTTGCTTTTTTATGGCCGAAATATTCTTCAGTACTCTTAAATATGTGTAGTGAGTTAAATTGGTCTATATTTACTACAACCAAAGAACTTCCATGTCTCGGATAGGCACATCATCCATATCTATTTTCTGAGTCTCTCAAAACTATTCTACTCAGAAATCTTGAAAATCTCACGAAGATAAAATACACGGTAGCAAACTCCTTTTGTGTTCGATTGAATATTCATAAATAGTTGCCTCTTGAAATATCAAAGGCACGATTGTCTACAACCACTTAAAGTTACCTCTCTTTGCATGTAAATGTGCCCTTGAGCCATTTTTTTAAACATATCTATTTATCTTGCGGCTAAGATTATTTTTCTGCGAAAAAGAAAGCGCTTAAGATTAGATATGGAACAACTACAGAAAATACTAGTCAACTTCGATATTTCAATGGTTTACAACGTGCCATGATTGGTTTGCTTCTACTTCTTTTATGTAAAACATAAGCGATCGCAGTTGATAGTGTTTTATTCACTATATCCAATTTTGGCTATTTTTACTTATGTAACAGAGACAACTGTGCGATGATCTCTCGTACAAGCAGATTCGAAAATATTGAACTGATGATGTTTAATTATGTTCACTAGAACCAACCGAAAAATATTATCCAGAGATGTACAGGATGTGCACAATTGTTCTGAACGTGTGCCCATCCTGTAAAGTTTAATCTCCAACCACCCAGTAATTCCTAGTCCAAAGCCACCCCACTCTTCGGCCTTCACTTATAGCTGGTAGGTGTTACTTTAGCTATTTATCGCACTCTCATTTCATGCCTCGCACCGCATCCAATAACAAAATAGTGTGCAGTTCGATAATAAGTTCTTGAATGGCTTCTGTTTTTGTATTGTATTTTTGTTTTCTGTTGTGCACGTCGCTATCCAGCCTAACTGCAAGCGAAACGAAACAGTAAACATTTTGATTCTTTGTGTGCCAGAGCATAATCCAACATTTATTTTTATAGCATCAAATAAAAATCAGGCAAGATTTCGAGCACAAATTCTTGAAAAGACTTCAATTATAGACGTACCAGTTTTGCCTTCAGCAAATTTTGCACGTAAATCTCTTTCATTTGTTCTATTTTCATTCGTTCTACTCTCGAAAAAATAGGTGCCGCGTTGGAATTTTAAGAGTTCTTGATTTAAGTACCATTTCGAAGATCTAAGCAAAAAGTCTAAAATATTTTCCAAAGATTCACATTTTTGCACTACAAATTTTTGAAGTTCAAATGATTTTGATTGAACTTAAACATGGTTCTAAAAATGGTACTCCGATCTAGAACCTTTAAATGTTCCGAACAAAAATTATCTTTTAGAGAGTAGATTGAAGTATGAAAATTTTGTTCTTGCACAAATAATATATATATGTCATATAATTTTACTACAACTCGCTTTCTGTATTTTCTTAGGACGAACCAACTCACTGAAACATGATCATAGAACTGATATTGCTCATCTTTATTCTTTACGTCATCTACCTGCAACATTGTTTACATCACAATCAGGGTTCACCAGGTATAGTCTTACATTCTGAACTGAAAAAATTATAGAGAAAAACAATAAATATGCAGAATACAATACAACCCTAAGTATAGTGCTTAAAAAAAGTGGTAGGGGCTGGACAAGAGTTGACATAACTCCGCATTGATCTATTCAAACATCGTCCATAATTCAATATTCTAAAAAGACGAGCTCCATTGAAAAGTCTACTAGAATGCAAAAAATATGTTACTGAAAGAATCTTGCTGTGATATAGGCGGTGTATATAGATTCTCCTATTTTTTACGCTGAAATATCATATGCAGTGTCCACATCATTTTTATGCATGCAGTGTTGTTTTCATTAAGAAGAAATTGAAGTGAACTACACTATAGGATATTTACTTTTAAAGCACATCTTCTTTCAAATGTGAAGAATTTACGAATATGGTATCAGATAGGATTTTTCAAAGAACTCTTTACATTTATTTTTTCTTCGTTTTAGAAAATATCTTGTCTGATGAACCCTTGCCGGCAGAAGAAAAGTCTTTTTATCAAGAATGTAAAAGCTATTATAATATCACAGGTATACCATTAATATCAGCCTCCGATGAAATCCTTAGCGATAATAACACATTGACGGCAACATCACTCAAATTTGGTATTGACGAGGACTATCGTGCATTGAACGTACCGGAGTTTTTGAATAAAATTTGTAGCATTTTGAATTTAAATATAAATCACATAGAAAGAACAAAATTACAAAGTGGTTCAAGCATATTAGAAATATTAATCGACGGAAAAAAGGTCAATATTAAACTGACACTCAAGAAAATATATAACTCATTGACCGAGAAAGTAAAAGAAGAACTGGCCAAATTAAAAGTATTCTTCATGTTCATGGGCGATATTACGTCATTGATTATGAAGCAGAAGTTTCGCAGTGAGATTAAACTGCATCCTCAATGGAACCGTATATACGATGTAGGTCATATATACTGGACTGGTGCTCTTCAAGATGGACGAGACCGTGGCAAATTTGATTATTTTTGCCCTATTGGGTGGAAAAGATATGCATTTGATGTTAATGATAATTTTGATGAGAAGTTTAAAGGGTAGTCTATTGGCTATCATGGTACAAAATTTGCATATGGCCTATCAATCTTGTTGAGTGGGTTGGCACCAGCCAGATGCGCAGCACTAGGTAAAGGAATATATGCAAGTCAATCAATAATTTACACATCTCATCCAAGATATGCTGAAGTTAAACAAATTGAATCAAAAGATGAAAGGAACTTTTTTAAAAACGGAAAATATGTTCAATTTGTATTACAATGTCGCATTCTTTCCAAAAATATAACAGTAGTGGGACCTGAAACATTAGGAGTTGGAGGGAAAATCGCTATTGATACGAATGTAAGCAATGATGTTATTGAATGGGTTGTCAAGGCTCAAGATAAAGATCTAATGGATTTCAGTGATCCGAATGCTACTATTGTTTGTACAGGACTAATGATACGTGTTACAGATAATCATCCTGGTTTGTTACCTGAATCACAATGGTGGTATTCAGGGCACATCTGTGAAAGAAAGGCGTGTTGCTGCTTAGGTATTGATCTTAGTGAACTGATAAAACAAAGAAACGATGGAGTCAAATGTAATTTTATATATGAGTAACTCAAACTTGTTCAGACAATCCAAAAGAATAAAAAAAACTATCATGTTTCGCTTTCATAGACAATGGTTTCGTGTTTTTTTTTTGTAAACCGTACTAGAAACCAACTTTATGAAACATGATTGTAAGGTTATATGCGGAGAGCGTCCAAATTATATCCGGAGGTGTAACGCTTCCGTTCGTGTGTAACCTATACACGATATTCGACCTTATGGTGACATCTCTTCTCGTCACACCTATTGCCTTTCTCTTTCTGTCCTTGATATTTGTCTTTACTCTCATTCTCATTAGCTCTCTCAAATGGTTGAGAATTTAAGTGTGTGCTTTATATGTAATCGATGCGATTTATGATTTGAAGAGTTAAATAAAACGTAATACCATCAGCACGGGAATCTCTTCTATCTAAAATCGTCACATGGATGTGTAATGTGTGTTCAATTATACAGCGAGAAAAGTGAGTCACAAACTCATCCTGGGCAATGATAGATATACACTGATGATTCTGATTCAAAATAAAAACAGGCTTATCGATTTTCACATTTTAATCCTAGGAGTCGTTGAGAGCTGATGGCTAATTCTCGTTTTCCTGAGGAATTACCATGGCATCGCTGATAATTCCTATTTCTCAGTTCTTGAACACTGCTGATTACAACTGGATCGACATAAGAGATGATTACTAACAAAGAATATGTATGATATTCTTCGTTTTTTTTCAGTCACATTTGTTTGATAGTGACCTCTCAATTTACTAGCTGCAACCACATGAGAGATAAAGCGAATGCAAGCGGGAGAAAAGGAAAAGATAAAGCCAAGATACTTCAGAAAGAAGACAAGTGTATCGGCGCCGTAGCATCAAATGGTCAACTAATTCATTAACCCTATAAAAAACGTAATGAGCAATGCCAAACTAGACCCACAACATCGTTCATGTACAAGCAATTTAATCATGAAGTGACGTTAAATAGTGATATATAATAGATTCAATTGACAATACCTCATTTATCTATTTCAATGATGTGCATTGCCTTCAACAAAAGGCAAAATCTCATCAGATAAAACCTCCTGGTATGGAACTAAATCTATCAATAGGGAATAATTTAAAAACACCTTTTCTTGACATAATACTTTTTCCGAACTATTTTGCTCTGCAGAAAAACAAATGATAAGGAAAGTAAAACAAAATCATCTAACAATCTTCATCAAGTAAAATTTCGTTTTTAAAGCGATATGTTCCTATTAAACAGTTAAATATTGAAAAACTAGATATCACACAAGAAAATCAACGTTATTTGCCATTGAATATGTATTTTACTGTTCCCTGCATCATTTATTTCTTCATGTTCAGCTTACGCGTACTACCTAGGCATGCACTAAATCCAAAACTTTTTGTTCTGAGGTTTTTGTTTTGAGACACGTCGAAAACGATTGTATTTCCGAGCCAAAACAAATATCATTATAACCAAAATCTTCAAAACATTTTTGGTTTTTGTACATGCCTAGTTTTATCTCCTTGCAAAGAGTCTATGATCTATATGGCTTGCGGTACGAGTGAGCACAGCCGTGCATTGAAACAATGACTAAGCGATAAACTCATTACAAGCTTTTTTTATGCTCACATGTTCGTCTTAAGAAATAAAAAAAGTTGTCAATGTGATGTACACTAAAGCTCCTTGCGTTTGGGTCCAGTTTCGGGTTCAGGTGAAAATTGTTTTACTTATTGGATCAGATCACAAGAGAATTTTTATGCATGTACATAATTGAGTGAAAAGGAAACAGATGTTGTTGATGGTCAAGTTATCTAACAATATAAGCAGTTTAGTGAATTCATTCCTTATTCCATCGGAAGCTCCGCACTCCTAGCGAGTCGCTAGGAGCCAGAGTCCAGTATAAATTAATTGTCAAAAAGTCTTTATCGGATAGTTAAAAGAACATACAAGATGTGCTACTTGCCTAACTCAAAATGAAAGAAGTACGCCGCCATATCTTCGGAGCGACTATCAGATTCAAGTAGAAAATTTGATTCTAAGTTTAAGAGTACGTTGCGTTTCAGATTTGTTTTTGATTAATAAGCCAGGTATTTGTTAAGAATGCCAGCTTAGCTTGACTTTCAAGTTATAAGAAACATGATTAAAATTTGAACTACATAGAGTTAAAGTTCAAATTGACTTTTTCATCAAAGTATACTTTTGCGTTTAAAACTTTGTTTTTCATTAAAAAAAATTTTAACAAAAGAAAGAGTTTCTGATTTTTTTCTGAAAAATATACTTTAAACTTTGACTTTTAGCAAGTTAAATTTTAAGATATGCTTGTTTTAGTTTTAAATTTAAAGATTAAAGTTAATATACACTGCTTCAATTAGAATAATTCTATCAGAATAGTTTCAAAGTTTTAGTGTCACCACTCGGATGGGTACAAACGTTGCTGATGTACTGAGTCCTATTCTGAAAATTTTGATTGAGTGGGTCCGGATTAGGGTGTGATTTCAAAAGTTCTTGGACCTGATGGGCTCTACCCTTAGGTCTACTTTACTGTACTCCTCCCTCTACTCTGAATTACGGAAGTCTTGCTTTCTGGATGTAGGTGGGGTGAGTGTGAATCTGCGTAATAAGAACAGAAATATCCTACACCCACACCATAAATCCACAGTCTTTCATACATCATATAGTGCACACTTGTAAACTAATATTTTCTTTATTTTCACGGGTGACTTTAATGACTCTCAATGATCGCTGAAGGCTATAGAATCGCTAAGCATAAAAAAAACATCAAGACATAATTTCTTCTCGTGACGTGGAAAAATTTTCTTCATCTATTCTTCTATAATAAAATTCAATAGCGAAAGGTAAATATAAGTCGCAGCATCACAAACATAAATTTTGTATAGCATGAAGTAACGTTATATTATTTGGTGTAACTGAGTATGAAGTCGTAATTACGATACAGTTTTCTGTTCTCTCTATAGAGCGTTACGGACACAATGCCACGAGTAGCCAATCCCGATGACGAGATGTTAAACATTTTCCTTTTTGTTGTAGTGATACTTTGGATCATTGTCTCCATGGTTGCTTTTAGTAAAGAGTCACTACCACTGCACTTGGCAACTGTTAAATATATAAAGGATTGAAAACTGTTCTGGGACAGTCATTAGTCGAGTAAAACACCAAAATTATTTACAGTATATTTTGTACATAGAATATACAAAAGCCAGCCAAAAGAAATGTATGTACAGTTTAAGAAGGCTTCTTCTCTAGGATTTTTCAGTCGTATTCTACGATTAACATTATTCCTTGATAAAGCCATTTCATTTTTACGAGAGTACTTTAATAACAGATTGGGTTTCAGTAGCAAACAGAGAGAATTTCTCTCATGGTAGACAAAAACTGTTTCATGTTACAAAAGAAACGAAACATGGGCGGTAGATGTGACCTATTCTCAAAAGAGATACTTTTAGCATTAATGATCCGCTATTTAAATTTTCATAATTATTCAAATATTTGACAGCTATGCATTCATCTAGAATATATTATTGCGATTAGCAATTTCATATTCAACACTATGTACATGTATTGAATACTATATAGTTAATAAATCTTCATAGAAATTGAAGTAAATGTCTACTGATTGTTTCAAATTACAGACTTTTTTAGGAGGATAGTTATAAAATTGAATAAAAGAGTTCATTGTTTTCATAGTTATAATTGATCTGACACAGTCACAATTATCGATTAAATGACTTTTGCTTTACTAACTGGCAAAGTTTTGGGAGATTTTGAAATTATCATTTTCTGAAATGGATGTGGCCGTATTGGAACTCTGGCCTTCACTGAAAGTACACCGATTACGTTCAACACATTCCTTAATATACGCAGATGTCTAAGTCCATATTTTCAGGAAAGCTAACCCATACCTGATCAACACCTACACTTTGTAGGTGCCGTAAAGTCAAATAAGATCGATGTCTGTCGGGTTTCAAAGATTTTTCCATCCCAACATGATTGCCGTTCAAAAACAGAAATAGAGGGCAGGGGATGGGGAATACATCAATAGAAGCAATACAACATTTAAAAAGCAAGCAAAGCTTTGGTAGTAGTCAGGGGTCTGTTTTCTACATAGATTTATGCAAAGAGTATTTTATGCAGAACTTTGTTTTATAGGAGTCAACCGGTCCAACGAGTTACTGCTCAACCAAAAAGTCTGTCTGGTTTTTCACTGTTGGATGACGAAGTACTTTTGCAGGAATGGAAAATGCCACTGCTTAGTTGTAGTGAGGCATGCGGTTCCAATTATGTGTGGCTAACGAATACAAGGGTACTTTCCCGAAAGGAGCTATGTGTCTGCTGTTGGAACATACTTCCTTGCTGGGATCAATGTTTTTCAGATGGAGCTGTTTACCTGAAGGATATTAGCGCTCTTAGATACAATCACCTGTGTTCGGAATGCAGTATCTTCAGCTTGATGATGGGCTGCATGACGCCGTGCTGTGGTTCAGGCGAGCTTCTTGGTTTGCGTGGTTCGTTCAACTCGGAAACGATCCTTTTCAATTCTTCCGAAATTAAACAAGCACAAGAATTGATCTCAAAAGCCGTATCGAAATCCAAGCAAACAAAATAGTAGTCGACATCATGTGCCTGAATCTACGCTAGAAACTGATCTATTCTTTACACTTTACTAAAACTATCTATCAATAAACTATCATAAAACTTTCAACTAGAACATTGAGTGTATCAGCATGAGAATCTTTATGCTGCATTGTACGTGATAAATGATTATCAAATTGAAAGGATGTGTATATATGTATGTGTATGCTTATCAGGATGAAGAACATCGACCACCTAGATCGAGTACCATACCCATACTCTATACCATTTATGTGTAGAATGGGGAAAATTTTCTACTATATTTATTGCATTGCAATCTTGACGATGTGGGTGCGGGTGTGTTTTAGTAGCAACCATGACGTGTTTCGTCCTTGCTTAAGGAATTCATTAGATACCTCTGACTT